AATCTATGCCACGAAGAATTGAGGCAGTTCTGAAGGCAAAAGGGGGTCCAACCCGTTACTAGCGTGGTGTACCTAATAAAGTGGCCGGTGAGTGTATGTTCTACCAAACATTTAAGTTCCTCCATGTTTACAGTAATTATGGTAATAAACTCGTGCACAAAGTTAATACTTTCAAACTCAGAATGAATGGATGCGCCGGTTGCGCAACACAGCAACGTGCGCACAGTCACTCGTTCTTTGCGTGATAACCATGTATTATTCCTATTCTTACTTAGGATTTTTTTCTCACTCACATTATATTAAATTCATTATTTTTCTGAATCTAGAAATAATTTCTGATCGCGCAGGGATCACTCAAACGTGTCCTTCACACATGCAGGAAGTAATTTGCATCTGTTTAACATATGTTAATGAAGGCGTGTCGGGGGAGGTGTCTCACCTCCACTCAGTTCCACGTTAATTGTGATGTACAAAAGCAATGTGTGTGGATTTTGGCGTACGCACGGTTCGATACATCTAGATATTTTTTTGTGTGTACGCCGTTTTCTGGATTTGACCGTACGCCACGTTTCAGTAAGAAATCCACGCAAGTCTTTGTATATGAGGCCCCTGGTGCTTAGCTCCAGCTGTGTGAGAGCTGGGGGACACCCTGGACAGGTCTCCAGGGTGTCAGCCATTCACACTCTCACTCACATCTAGGGACAGTTTAGTGCTACCATTTAACCTAATTCCTGTCTACAGTGAAGAGGAAAAAGATCAAACACCCCTTTTCAGTTATTGGGCTATATAGTCATAAAAAATTGTATATTTCCCAGGTTCAAAGAGTACAAAAACCAAACAAATTCTACCATCTCATTTGTTTTTTAACAGTGACAAAGTTGAATTGAAAAAGTTGTGATTTAAAAAACAAACAAACATTTGTTGCATCCTGCAGCGAAAATTCTTACATCCCAGGACCTTTGAACAGCTCAAGTATCAGAAAAGAATGGGACAACATTCTCCTCTAAAAGGTTCAACCACTTGTCTCATCACTAGATGTTTCCAGACTGTTGTTGAAATAAACAAGGATACCTCTCAGTGTTAAACATGGCCCAGGGTTTGTTGCCCCTTTTCCATCAAGGATTGTTCTACAATTGTTCCTGTGTTTTTAGAAACACTTTTTCTCAGACTGGTCAGTCTCTGCCCATCTTAACTTCTGACAGATTCAGCCGTTTTAAAATATTTTTTTTTCTATCATCTTATCGAACTGTTGGCAATTAACCTATTTTATTGAAAAATACAGCTGTTTTTTATTAGAACCACTTACTTTTACAACCTTTTGTTGCAAATTCAGAACCTTTTTATTCTGTTACCGTTTTTTAAAGAAAAAGATACAATTTCTTAGTTCAAGCATTTGATGTTTACTTTGTTCCATTGTAAATAAAATGTATGGGTTTATGAGATGTATAAAATATTGCAATCTGTTGTTTGTTTTTCACAACTTTTTCAGAAATGATGTTGAAATATACTTTTTCATGTGTCTAAAGTTTAAACATTCCTGATCTGAATGATGCAGATGGTAAGAGGAGCCAGTGAAAACCAACACTGCTGCTTTTCAGGCTTACGCCTGTTATAGTTTTAGGTCTAGTTTTAGTTTTGTTTTTGTTTTTATCTCATGTCATGTGTTTTTAGCAGCTCTTTTCCTCAGCCTTGTCACAGCCCTGCTCCCTCTCCCTTCACAGATCCTCAGGTAATCAGCTCATGCAACTCACCTGTGTCCCTCTGTATTTAAGCCAGCAGTTTCCCTCAGCACTCTGCCAGTTTATCATCAGCCAGTCTATGGCTCACCAGCATTCTTGTCCCATGTCCTGTTCTGATCTCGGCTCCTCGACCCCCTTCTCGTCCCTTGGATTACCACCTCTTGCCTCAGCCCGTGTCGGATACCTTCTGCCATCTGCTCTTCTGGTAATGACCCTGTTTCTGTTTCTCGGACTCCTGCCCCTCTTCTCTCCCTTGCTCGGCACCACGACACCTCAGACTTCTTGGTTCTCGACCCCTGCCTGCCTCCCGGATTCAAGAGTTACGTTTGCTCCTCTTAACCTGTCGTATTCTCTGATCCCTCTGTGTATGACCCTCGTCTGTCCCTGGACCCCGGACCCGTTTCTCGAACCCGCAACGCTCCCAAAGATTGTTGGTGACGTCATCCGTGTTTCTCTGGAACCAAACTGGCACAGTTGGTGTTTCCACACGGAGGCTCTCAGTTGACACCAGGTTAGTGGCTAAAAATACTAGTAGTATTTTGTCCTAGAGTCTTACAGCCACTAACCTGTTTTTTTTCTGTGTCCAGAAAACCGGACCCACGCACCTGGGTTGTTCCAGCTCCACACCAGCAATTTTAATAAAATTTGTAAACCTTTATCTGTTTTCGGGTTTTTTATCAGAGCTCAAACTCAGATCCGTAACAACGCCATCACGTTTTCTGTTGAAATATTTATTATAAACCAGCACAGTGACAGCCAGCCTCCCTTCTTGCATTCCAGGGCTGAGATTTCTCTCCTCTTTCTTCCCTCTTATTAAAACAGCCTGTCTTTGAGACCTTGCTCTTCACATTTCTTCCCCTTTTCACCAAGTCTGTCTTCATGCCCCCCACCCCCCAAGTTCTCCATTAAATAATGAAAAGCCTTTGAAAATCCCTTTTCTTTGCTCTCTGTTTGAGCAGAGGAATCTTGACTGAATGTGTCAATGGGTCTCTCGACCTCTAGCTCGTTGAGAGAAGTTTTTGGATTTAGCTCAAAAACCCATATCGACCCTAGCTGTCCCCACCAACTTCCCTGCTCTGCTTCTAGCAGTTTGTCAGCTCACTGTCAGTCCCTCCCATCCCCTCTCCTTCCTGCCCATTTGTGGATCATCCTGCAGTGGATCCAGATGAGCATGTCTTGTTCAGAGACATTCTCTTCCTCTGCTCTTGCATGGACATATGTGCACAACGTGCGCCAGTTGGTGTTTGCAAATCTTTTTTTTTTCCAAATTTGCAGGAGTAGAGATGGAGCACCACAAAATAAATCAGTCCGGTGTTTGTAAAGCTCAAACCATTTATCCTCCCACCTGCTCACGTAACAATGTTCCACTCCTCCATTCTTATTCAAAAGTGACCAATGTCTAAGTCTGTTTATTTCAGGGACCGCTCGTCATCAAACAAAACAACCTAATGCATGTGAGAGTAATTAAGATACCCACGCCATTTGCACAATGATCAGTGTAGAGTTGAATGTCAGAGTTTTTAACATGTGGTTTCGAAATGCTGAGATTGGAAATGTTTTAACTCTCCAGTCATGTCGCTGTGGTGGAACAGCCCCTGCTAAACAAGCGCCAGCAGGATCGCAGGCTTTGTGTGATTTGTGTACATGCAAAGAATGTGAGGAAGAACTTGTTTTTGACAGCCTCAGGAAGCCAAGATCTCTTCCAAATCTGCCTAATCAGGACCACATTGTAGGGGTCAACCACGGCATAAACCTAAGAAGACCCAAGGCCAGGTTTCCTCCTTACTGGAAATCACAGATATGTGTGCTCACTTCTAAGAGACAGTGTTGCATAAGAGCAGAAAAAAGATTCAGAAGGCTACAGAAACTCCTGGCCATCATTAAAACAAAGATAAATGATTTACTTTGTGGAACTGGTGAAAGTTTGCCAACTGGTGCCTGTTACTGTTGTCAACCACATTACCACCACATTTGTCAAATTCCTCCTGCCAAGTTCCACGTGTTTAAACAAACTCTCTACTTAAAGGGGACAGCTTAAAGTGTAACTTACCCCCCCTGTGAAAAGATAACTCCGCCCCAAGGCGAAATTTGAAAAATGCATCAAAGTGGGTAGGGGAGGGGGMGWYGGTGGAGGAAGGGGGGTTAGAGAGCGGAGGTGTGGCCAGGTCGAGAGAACGTGACAGGCAGCTAGCATTAGCATAATTGATGCTACATGGAAAGTGACCACAGTGTAAAAAATGAAATGTTGGATTTACTTAACCATGTTATGTTACCTGGTTCCACTTAAC